CCAAGGCGTCTTTAATCAGCACATTTCGGTGCCTTTCGTTCTTTTCAAAGAACTTTCGGGCTCTCTCTCTCTCATCTGGATTACGACCGGTACCTATCGTAGTTCGTCATACAGCACCCTGTTAGGTACATACCACGGTGCGTCCACCGCCTCACGGAGTGCTATGTGTTGTCGAGCTTGGAGCCTCTTCTTCAACGTTTTGGAAACGTAGCCCCAAGCTACTGCTGCATAAGTCATGATTTGGAGCAGCACCATCTGAATCATGATGATCTCATTCTTTAAGGACACTTTGCTTCTTCTGCCTATTATTAGTTTTGAGCATGCCATCTGCACTTTCTGCACCTGGCCCTCGACATGGTTCTTCCAAGTGATTTTTTGGTCTATCTTGACTCCAAGATACGTGCTGGAGTCCTTCCAATCGACCTCAACTTCTTCGTCTCTTCTCCAGCCTCTCTCCATTCTGGTGGTCGTCATCATTATTTTGGATTTAGGTAGTCTTCGATTTCTTCGGAACAGTACCGCTTCGGTCTTCTCAGGGTTGAGACGGATCTTCCACTTGATGCACCATTCCTCTAGGCTGGTAGTCGCTCGTTGCAGATATTCCGTAACCATGCGGGGTCTCGTACTTACTGCCGCATATGCTCTATCGCCCGCATACACATACAGTTGCGTTTGTGGAGTCTTCGGGATGTCTGAACTGTAGATTGCATACAGCAGGGGTGATAGAACCGCTCCCTGCGGTATTCCTGCCTCCACAGTCCTCGTCGTCGAAGATGTTTTACCAAGCCTAATTCGGAATTTACGATGCTTCAAATAGGACTTCACCAGTTGGATCATCCCCGTTGAGTATCCGAGTTCTACCATCTTGTAGATCAGTCCGTCATGCCAAATAGTGTCGATCGCCTTAGCGGCATCCATGAACGCAGCTCCCACGGCCCGCCGAGTCTGGAACGATTTCGTTGCCATCTCGACTAGCCTTAGGAACTGGTGCTCTGCTGAATGTTCGCTTCGGAATTCGAACTGTTCGTCTGGAACTACTCGGAGCTCTTCAGTTTCGTTCCTCAGTCTTCGTTCGATTACCCTTTCTGCAATCTTGCTCAGTGCCGTCAACAGGCTTATGGGTCAGTAGTTTTGGGGGAACCTTGGGTCTTTCCCAGGTTTTGGTATATTGATCACTTCGGATACTTTCTGTTCTACTGTTCTGGGAAGTACCGGTGTCTCAATATGGCGTTGACAATGTTCGTGATTGCCATTATCGCTTTCCTCGGGAGTCTCTTCAAGACTCTGTTCCCAATTTCGTGTACACCCGGTGCTTTCTTCATCTTGAGTCTTCCGATGATTTCCCTTACCTCGCCTCGAGAGGTCATGTCCTCAATGGCTCTTCCTCCTCTTACAGGTCTCCTCGATCTGTTTATCACCTCGTCGACGAAGTCTTCGTCTTCTTTGGGGTGAGTGTTGAGAGTACACTGTCTCTGAAGGTTGTCAGCAAAAGCTTCTGCCTTCTCTTCGGTTGTGTACACCATCCCTTGTTCGCTGTGTACTGGGGGGATGGGCTGTCTTCTGTTTCTGAGGATTTTAGCCAAGTTCCACATCCCTGGATCAGCTGGAGATAGTTCTTCGAGTTTATTATCCCAGGTGCTCTGATGATGCTGCTTCAAGGCGTCTCTTGCCTGTCATGTCAGTCTGTTTGCCACCATGATGTCCGTGGGGCTTCTGGTCTCCTGGGCTACTCTTCGGGCTCTATTTCTTTCGGTAATCTTGCGATTTACCTCGTCAGGTAGGTCCCTGAACCTGTTTGGTTGCGTTATGTCTTCCACGGTGGTTGCGGCTTCTAACGCAGCCTTAATCTTCCTTTCTAGGTCCGTGACCGCTTCCTCTATGTCTACAGGGCTGTCAATCTGAAGTAGGGCTCCTAGTGAACAGTGCAGTCTGATTCTAAATCGCTGCCAATCTACTCTCTTCACTGTTCTTTGCTCCACAGGTGTTCTCCCATCTCCCAAGTGAAGAAAGATGAGGTTGTGGTCTGAGCTTCCCTCTTGCAAGGCGCCGATGGTCGTGCGCAGGTCGATTTGTTTCAGAATCGCCATATCTATGACGTCTGGTCTACCTCCCTTGCTGGGGTATATTATGGTTTCGTCAGGACCTATCACGGTGTGTCCAGGTTCATCCATTAGTCTTTCGAGAACAGTGCCATGACTGTTTCTATTTCTTGAGCCCCAAATGGTGGACTTCGCATTTAGATGACCTACGATCACGGTACTATTTCCCAGTGCAGTGATACAGGTGACATCTTCCAGATGAATCGTTGATGTAGGTGGTACGTAGATCGATACGATGTCCAGAGGGCCATGGTTGGTTGTGCGTACCGTCACTCCTACGGCCTCTGCAGATCTCAGTTCTGGCAGTCCCAGTTCCCAGTGGGTAATGCTGGTCTTGACAACAAGCAGCACCCCACCTCCGGTTCTGTTCCGGTCCTTTCTATATGTCGTGTATCCCTGTATCGTCCAGTGTGGGACTTCCCCAGAGAGCCACGTTTCTTGTAATTCCATTACATCATAGTTCCCTCTTGTTAGGACTTCGCCCATCTGATATTTCTTGTTGGAAACGCTGTGAACGTTCCAACTCAATATCTTCAGGCCCCTGTTAGCAATGGTTATTGGAGGGCCCATTTGGAGTTTCGGTCAGTGCTATCCTTTTTTAGGCGTATTTTCGCTCCAGATGAGCAAAATACGGTTTCTTGGCAGCCAGATTTTTCATCACCAGCGACATCATTTGAGATGCGTACTCGGTGGCAAAGTCTGTCAGCTCCTCGACGTCGCTGTTTTTGGCACGGCTGGCCTCAGCGGCTTGTGCCCCTGTAGGTGTCCTAGCTGTTGTCTCCGCATAACTACGACCCTCCTGTACTGGACTAGGCCTAGTTATGGTTTTGGGTGCTGGCGCTGCTCGCGCTGCTCGCGCTGTGCCAGTTGCTGCCGTCTTCTTATCTCTTGGTCCTGCATGCGGCCTCTTTGGGCATTCCCCAAAGTTTGCGGGATGCTCTCCCCCGCAGTTCGTGCACTTCGCGGGCTTTTCATTCGGGACCTTACAGTCCGCCGCTCTATGCTTTTCTGCGCACCCAACGCAGCGTGGCTCACCCGAGCAGTTCATTTGGCTATGGCCAAACTGCTGGCATCGGTAGCACTGACCTGGTCCGGTCCTCTTTCTTAGTGCCTGGATCACCATGTGGCAAACAGCATTTATCTTGTAGATCTTCGTCTCTTCTTTTGGGAGATCTACTTTAACCAGCAGTATCGCTTTGTCAGTCCTTCTGCTGGTCATCCTACTCACCCTCTTTGGGTGGAAACCTTGCCTTGCCAAGTCCTCTTCGATCTCTTGACAGGTGGTAATGATGGGCATTTCCCTTAATACCACTCCCAGTGGCTTATCTTCCGGAAGGGAGTATGTGTGATGCTCAATTTTGGCATCCTCCAGGGTTTTCCTGACCCTTCTATATTCTTCACTGTCCTTTGGTTGGACCTTAATACCTGCACCAGTTAGTAGTGCAGGTTTCTCGATGGAGAGCATCTTCTTGTTTAGCACCTCCTTCCACTGCTCTTCCTTGTGGATGTAGAGTGGTGGTGCTTCCCTCCGCCGACGGAGGTGTGCCCAGAATCATCGGGGCTGGCAGTGTATTAATATACTAACATCAATTAATTGCAATACACCTACCCATAACCCCCCCCCCCACCCTCCTCTGAATTTTTTTTCAAACATGACTAGGATCTAAAAAACGAAGGATGAGCGATTTTTATTTTAGTTGTTTGTGGCATTTGTACGCCACCACTGTACCGATTTCCAAAAATTACAGAGCTTTTTCGTCCTTGGCATAGTAATAACCTTGTGTGAAAATTTTATCACAACACGATTGGTACTTTTCAAATTATAGACAGGCCGAGGATTAATGGACAGAGAGACAACTAGACCGTTAGACAGACAGACAGGCCGACAGACACACACAGAAATAAGTGAAACTGTTTTTCGCGTACATGTCATATAACATCCAAAAAACATAATATCCCGTTTACGAAATTTTTCGCGATTACAAAACTCCTCCCCAGTAGGCGTGGGAAATAAATATATAGTCAAGGAACTAAATATTTAGGAACGATCCAACGCCCCATGCATCGTTTGAGTGACCCTTCTACAAAAAATACGCCCATGGGTTTCTAGGTCTGTATTTGGTGTTGTGAGCCGTATGTCGTAAATATGACATCACGACGTAGCTCCAGTCGTCCGGAACGTTTTCCTTTTCTCTTCATATTTCTGTTTGGCGCAGCTCGTAGGATTTCCACGATGTTTATGGTCACTGGTATCGTTTAAGAACTGTAAAGTTGGAGTAGCTTCGAGTTGGAGTTTGCTGTGTCAAGACTTTATTTTAGAGTTTTAGAGCGACGAAATATACAGCCACTTTTGCTAATGGCTATGGTATTTTGGTTCTACCGTAAGGACTTTTCAGATGATAATGAGTGCAAAATATACCGGGTGTCAAAAAAATCGTTTTACAAGGCACTATTTAATTGCTGTTTAAAGAAGAACCTTGAAATTTTGTGTGAAAATATGACTTATAAAAACTCGGATTATCTATTTAAAAAACAACTGAGTATCGCTTCCAGTTTGATTGGAAGTGAGTATGAAATAGAATTTTAAATAGGACGCTGAATATATTTTTACATATTTGCAATAGAGCTAAAAATTTCCTTTTCAACGATGTATCTCAAGTTACCATTCTTTTTGAAAATGGTGGCATAAATGGCATTTATACCAAATTCAATATTGTGGCGTTTTGACAGTATCTATGGATTTTTTCACAAACTACCCGCTAATTTAAGAGGCAAACTGGATTCTCTTGCCGCTTCTACAATCAGTTAGCAAAACAAAAAAATTGTCATCAATTTGGTACCACTTATGGTTTTACTAAAAATGTCAAAATGTATTTAAAAGTTTCTCAGAAATTTGAATAGGAATCGGAGCAATAAGAAGCGTCTTATTTCCGAAAGGAAATGCTAAACAATATGCTTCATTTGTATTTTTTTGTTTCTATTGATAACAAGATCAATAACGTAAATTAGCATAGTAAAAACTAAGTAACAAAAGTAACTAAATAACAAATAACTTGGCAGATAAATTACTAACGAAAAATTAGAAAAAATCATTCAATTAAGTGTTCTATGCGTTGGCTGCCGAGTTGTTGACACAACCTAACTCTCTTGATGTTTTCTATATGCAATTTTCGTAAATGTTCTTGAGATATATTTTCAATGGCTGATCTAATTCTATTTTCTAGTACTTCTAGAGACGGTGGAGGAGAGGCATAAACTTTTTTTTTAATGGCCCCAAATTGAAAAATCCAGAGGGGTTAAATATGGCGACCTTGCAGGCCAACGGATCGGTCCGTTGGCTCCTAGCCAATTACCACCGAATCGCTCATTTAAGTAATTAGTTACAACTCTAGACTTGTGGGCAGGGAGCCATCCTGCTGATATAATAAATGTACGTTGTTCTACAGATTTTCTATAAAATGTTCTATTTTGTTTTTTAGAAATTCCAAGTACATATCACCATTTAACGGTAGATAGAAAAATATAGGACTAATGATATTAAGCCCTGCTACGCCTAACCAAAAATACACTAAAAAACGTTCCTGGAAAGCACCTTCTCCCACTAACCTTTGGTTCTCCTTAGCCCAATACAGTGTATTATTTTGATTATGGTAAACATCCCTAGATTAGTAAACCTAGATTCATCAGAAAAAATAATATGGCATTTATGTTCAAATTATTCAAAAACCAGTTGCAGTAATTAAGCCGTCTTGGAAAATCATATTCAATCAGATGGTGATGAATTTGGTACTTAAAAGATTTAAAGCCATGTTTCTTTGAAGATTTTCTTGCACTTTCGTGGGAAATTTGGCACTGCGCACACTGCTCACCTATTTCGCGAGTAGAAGCGGTACGATTATATTCTACGTAGCCTAGGACGTTTATTTCGACTTCTTCGCTTACTATAAAATCATTACCATGAACTGGATGGTTATGTTCATTTTTCAAATATTCTATGAGCCAATGATAATAGGCGTGTGATGGAGCTTGACGATCTGGAGACCGCTCCTGATATAATCTTGCTGGGCGCCTCGAATTTTTTTTTTGGCATTCATCATAAATGAGCAGGTCGATTTGATGATCTCTTGAATAATTCATTATACTTTGTATCAGTTAACTACTAAATTGATTACAAATAAAAATAAAATAAAAAATATTACACAATAAACGATGCTGACGCGTGGAAACGAGACTGATAGTTGACAGTAATTTTAAAGGCTTTCCCGTTCATTTGTTTCCAAAGCATCCCCAGATCTCCGTGCAAACCAGTGAAGTATTCATCCCTGTTGATTATTACAATTCTGGTTTTTTAAAATAAAGAACAGAAAACAAAATAATTATGATAAAAAATGAAAATCATAGATATTTTCTGTCACGTGACTAGATAAATACCTATTAACTGTGCTTAGGTAATAACAAATACTAATTTTATAATTAGTTATAATGCATGATATAGCCCTCCAAAACTCCCCAGCTTTTTTTCTCTAAGACAAGCTCCTTATAGTGGACATTTTTTTACAGATATTCCGACAGACTTTATTAGTAGTACTTAGAAAACACCGTTTCCTATTCAAAATTCTGAGAAAAACTTAAATACATTGTGAAATTTTAAGCAAAAACTAAAATGGCCGCAAATTTATGATATTTTTTTGCCAACTCAATGCAGAAGGTGCAAGAGAATGGATTTTGCTTCTTATTTCAGCGGGTACTCTGGCAAGAAGTCCATTAGTATTGTCAAAACGCCGCCATATCGAATTTGGCGTAAATACCATTTACGCCGCCATTTTGAAAAAGAATGACAAATTGTGATACATCGTTGAAAAGGGAATTTTAAGCTTTATGAAAATGTGTAAAAATATATACAGGATCTTATTTAAAATTCTTGTTTCATACTAAGTTCCGGTCAAAACCGGAAGCGATATTTAGTTGTTTTTTAATGGATAATCTGAGTTTTTCTATGTCATATCTTCACATGAAATTTCAAGGTTCTTCTTCAAACAGCAATTGAGTAGTGGCTTGTAAAACGATTTCGTCGACACCCGGTACATTTTTTATGCCGAAGCAGCTGCTATAAGAAGCTTAATGAAACTTTGTTAATCTGATTTTTGAACTGCCTAATGTTAGTGGATCTGGGAAAAGTCTCCTCAGGCAGATTGTTGCACAGTCTCGACACGCTAAAGATAAACGAGTGGTCGTACCTGGCCAGTTCTAGATGTACGAGGTTCGACGCGGCAAGGATGGGAATAAGAAGTCAGGTGGGTCTGTCTGGTAGGCTCATCACGCGGCGGCATCATAGAGGAAGGTTCTTAGGAACAGAGCCCGCTGACAGCGACAGAAGATAACCAGTTCACTGATAGCCCGTCTGTGCTAAGGGTACTAAGACTGTTCCTTACAGAGGAAGCATCGATCAGTCGGACGGCCCTTCTCTGAATAGCATCTATCATGAATAGTGTAGTCGGGTGGCAGCACTCCAAGCACGTGAGCTGTACTCGAAGCTAGGTTTTATCTACCGGGTGATTCTCCAAGGTGACTCACCCCTGTAGCTTTTTTATTATTGAAGATAGAAATACCAAATTTGGTGGTTGCGTATTTTAGATGAGCTTACATTTTCTGACATATCCACGTGCTTTGACGTATCTCCGATTTGACCGGAAACGACTCCAACTTTCGATTTAAATGGAGCACCATATATATTTTTACTTAATTTGATCGAAGATGACATTGTGAACTCAACGAAGCCTCACTTGTCGATATTTGACAAATAAGGTTATTCTTAGTTCAGTTTATATTTATCGATCTAGAATGGCATGGATCCTGTAAATCGCTTCAGTTTTGATCAAGTAACGCGGGGAAAATACGATTTTGAGGCGTACGACCTTACAGTCGTTTTAAAGATTTTCTAAGAGTTACAATCACTATTTTTTTCACTGTACTTTCTTTTTCTTTCAAATAGAAAGGAGGTGGCTTATCGGCTTTTTCTAAGAGACCATTATCTTATGAATGGTTTGACACTACAGAGTCTTATTTAATTTCCACTGTTTTTCTGAATAATTGTAAAAAACGATCATACCTAACAACAAATAAGACGTATCAGCATTCGGTTTACCTATGCACTAAGTCCTATTATTCTAGTTATCCGTGACAAACAATTGAAGGTGTTGCTTTCGAAATACAAAATGTGCAATTAACCAGAAGAAAATGCGAATAACTTGATCATCAGTGAAGAAAAAGAAATAGACGTGTTGGTCTATGGTGGAGTAAACTATACAAATGAATTAAATACATATCCTATCATGATTATAACAAAAAATAAAATTCAAAAATGTGCCATTAAGGTTCGAAGTGTTCAAAACGGCATCCTCCTTGATCACAGCAAAGTTCAACTTTATCAATTTCTTGATGCTTGTATTACATTGATTAAGTGTTCCGCAATACCGCCCTTACTTCATGCTCCAGTTCTTCGGGAGTAGTTTCATACACACAGAAAAAATCTAGCTGAGTAAGATCTGGTGATTTAAAATATGAAAAATAAATTCGACGTTGTGAAAAAATTATGGCAAGGATGTACCTCGGAAGCTACTGAATAGGGCCATTGGTGTCAATCCACATTTCTGGGAAAACGTCACTCAGATATTCTCTTACCGCATGAAAATGGTGAGGTGAAGCTCCACCTTGTTGAAAATAGATATCAACTCGGTTAGCCAGTGGCAAATCTTCAATGAAACCAGTTATTTCATGATTTAGAAACTGTAGATATCTTTTCGCAGTGAGTTGTCCATCGAATATTTTAGTGCCCCAAAAGGTTTTTTCTGATATTACCCATCCAGCAATTGAAACCAAATCGCTCTTGAAAATTTTTGCATTAGACGTACGTTTTGTGACCATTACTTTTTGTTATACCCGAGTTGGTAAACCGACTTTCGTCTTTATTAATAATTTTAAACGGAAAATGTACTCGTACATCTTCTCTGTATTTAGTCAAAAACCAGTTGCGATAAGTTAATCTTCGGTTGTGGTCATCAGTTTAAAGATGTATAATTGGTACTTGAATGATCGATAATTATATTTATGAAAAACTCTCCAAACGGATGAATAACTTATGTCACATTCTAGAACGGTTTGACGAGCTGACGATGTACAATTTACTTCAACATAGGTCTATTTCTTTTTCTTCACTGACAATAAAGTTATTGGCATTTTCTTATTGTTCATTTCGCACTTTCTGTTCCAGTTTTGGACAATAATGCCGAGTGGGATTGCGACGGTTGGGGAATCTCTGATAACAAATTCGAGCTGCCTCAGATGAAGTTTTTCTTGCTTTTCCGTAATCAACAACATATCAATTTTCCCATTTCTTGTATAGTTTTCCATTGTGAATTAACTATGGTACGTAACAAATTAATTTTTAAAACTGACAGAATTTTTAATAACGTAGATAGATTCGCTGAAGTAACTCTATCAACACCTTCAATTGTTTGTCACGGATAACTAGAATAATAGGATTTAGTGCATAGGTAATATGTATACCGAATGCAGATACGTATTATGACGAGTAGCTGTTAGGTATGATCGTTTCTTAGAATTATTCAGAAAAATAGTGAAAAGAAAATGGTCTCTTATTAAAAGCCGACAGGCCACCCCCTCTCGATTTGAAAAAATCAAGTAAATTGAAAAAATGCGTGTTGTTGTAACCTTTAAAAAATCTTTAAAACGACTGTGAAGTCGTTCGCTTCGAAGTCGTATTTTTTACGTATTACTTGATCGAAAATGAAGCGGTTTAGAGGATCCATGGCATTCTACATTGAAAAATAAAAATCGAAATAAAAATTACTTTCTTCTGTCAAATATTGACAAGTGAGGTGTTGTTGAGTTCAAAATGTCATTCTTGATCGAAATAAGTAAAAATATATAGGGTGTCCCATTTAAAAATCAGAAGTTGTAGTCGTTTTCGGTCAAAGCAAATTAATATGTCAAAAAATGCAAATTCATTTATATTATGCAACCCCCAAATTTTGTTTATATAATAGTATAATCCAAAGGTGTTGAAAATAACGTTCCTCTATACGGAGGCATTAAATAATATCTAATATAAATTAAAGTTTTGAGGCAGATTTAAAC